TGAGCTCACTCATGCTTGTTAGAACCAAATCTCTCTCCATGCCCTTTTCACCAGGGTGTTCCATGACAGGTATTTCTTCTAACTCTCACTCCTCCTAGCCATAGGCTATACGGGCTGCTACATGTTTCATTCATGCTCAAGAAATGGGCAGACACCAAGAGTGAGGTACTGCAGTGTTATAATAGCATTATGAATATGATAACGGAATTCAGGGTTTGGGAACAGGCATTTGACAGCTTTTTATCTTTTAGGTAGCTTTATAAAGATAGCTTTATGTTCCTTATATACCCAATGTAACAAATAAGTTTAAAACTGCTTAAGTATGGTTCTTTTTTTTCTTAAACAATAAATCAAGTAAGGTGTTTAATTTCTCAGCAAGTATAGTAAACACAGCCTGAAGTTAGTTCACCAAACTTGGAAGCTGAGTATTACTGACTCAGTATCATTTAAGAGCTATTAACTTATCTTAGAAGGCTCCAAAAACAAGATAATTTGTAGCCTTCTTAAAACTAGCTTAACTGTGTCATTACCCAGAAATTGTATACATTATTTGTAGCTTTTGGCCATGTTTGCCTCACAAAATCTTTCTTAAGTTTTGGTAAGTAAGGTGATTGCAACAGAATATATCTCAGAACATCTTAAGTTTTATAAAAGCATGGACTTGGTTTTTATTTACCAAGGTTTCTAAACTTCCAGAATAATGCCTGGCTCATGGCAGGTGCTCAGTACATAGTTGATGAATTAATAAATGAATCTTAACTAGCCCAAAAGAAACTACTCAAGTAAATACTCTTTGGGAATAGCAGCCCAGCTCAAAAGACAGGTGTAAGAGTTTTCAAAATACTTGCTAGTTTTCTCCTGTCCTTTCCCTGGGATAGTCAGATATGACAGAGACTGCTTTGTTCAAGAATTGCCTTCATATTCCACTTTAGCTTTCAGGCAATAATAGATTTCATTCATTCAGTGCCACAGGAGAATACACTTTCTGTAAAAATGAGACATTTGTCCCAAGTGGTATGCATAAGCTCTGTACATAGAAACCATTTTTCAAACCTGCCAACACCCTACAATTGCCATACTAGCAAAGTGCAAACATCTTCTTAAATCAGGATCTATCCAGTGACTTCTTAGAATGGTTAGTTATATAAGATTACAGGGGCTGGAGGAGGAAGGCAGGAAACAAAATTAAAAAAAAAAAAAAAACCCTGCAAACTTATGCTAGTAAGCTAGGTCAAATATACTTTATCCCCTGAAGAAACACAGCTCTAAATGTTCATTATGTTGAAACTTTCACTACTACTGTAGATATGGAGACAAGAATGATCATATTGGCTACGGTCACAGAACTCAAGCCTATACCACTATTCCCTGTTGTTAAATCAAATTTTCCAGTTGTTTAACTTGGTGATCATGTCTCTTCTTATACTATTCTTTTCTAGCACACTGTTTTACTTTGAGAATGGTATGACTTTCTAACTTTTCCTATCTTTAGAGAAAAATGACACCTTTTTTGTGGGGTGCAATAACTTCTTAATATTAACTTGTCTAATCATGGGGGCATGGATTTTAGATGATTGCTTTGCAGATAAGACAGAGTCCTATTTCACACGTATGTTAAAATTAAAAACTGCTAAATTGAGTAATTAAATTCATTTTAAAATAAGGGGTGAATTATTTGTGTATTTGGAGGCAGAATCAAAGTACTTTTTTTGTTTGCTTTTTACAGCACCTATTACAGCTCTTTCCAATAATATTTCTTCTCCGATTCTTCCATCAACCTATGTTAGTCTGCTGTCGCTATTCTGATTACGAATGGGGTAAGGGCAATATTTAAGAAAATAGTGTTACTAATCTTATTTTAAAAGGACTGATATACATTAAACCAACCAGAAACTTCTAAAATCTTTTTGTGAAATACTATTAATAAGAGACTAACATTAGAATTTTACTTCTTAAGGGTAAACAAAGTCTCTTGGCTAGTGCAACAAATGAAACCATGTCAAATTATTCTCAAAGTGAGAATAAAAAATTGAACAGATAGTTAAATCCCAACAATTAGAAAGAATGCATTTTTAAAATGTTACCTTCTTTGTTTCTTGATCATTTAAAAGGTTAACCAAACCCATCAGGTTGATGCCATCTCACGTCAAACCAGAGAGGAGGGGTCTCACTTTGTGTACATTACCAAGGAAAGTGCTGTGTGCATACTGTATTTAATGTAATACACATTCTTCAGCTTTAATTTTACAGCAGACTTTAAGAAAACTTTATCTCCATCAAAAAAATACAGGATTGGCACAATAATAATAATAATA